CTCTCTCTCTCTCTCCCCCCCCCCTCTCTCTGCCTCTCTCCACCTCTCTCCGCCTCTCTCTGCGGGGCCGTAAGTGACAAACGGCTAACGCAAGACGATTGAGCGTTGAGGCTCCGCGGCGCTCTGCGGTGCACGTTGCGGTGCGTCCCGCCGCGGCTGCGAGGCGTGCGGTGAGCGTCGAGGAGGTCAAGTGGCTCGCCTCTCTGGTGACACTATCCCCTCCTGATCCCTCTCTCCTCTCTCCTATCCACGAAACCTCATCCCCTCCCCCCTTCTCACTCCCCCCCTCTCTCTCTCTTTCTCTCTCTGTCACCCGCTCTTTTGCTCTCTCTTACACTCACACAAACACTGGAAAAACTCACTGGCTTCTGTGCAAGCCATCAAATATTTTGGTTTTCCTTCCCAGAATGCCAAATATTGGTGTCTGTTTTCATGCCAAAACAGGGCACGCCAAAAATGGCACTCCCAAAAATTGGCCGTTGGAAGAGAAGTGCCAAACTGCCTTTCTCAGATGCGAAAGTTTGGCATTCGTAAGGGATACCAAAAGAATGGCATGCAAATGAGCAAGAAGAGGCCACTGAATTTTCAGAATGTACTCTAGGCCTGGGAGAAGAAAGAGAGAGGGGGGGGGGATCAAATCCCGAAAGGTGCAAGCAAAGGCTTTATTTACCCCCTCCTTTTCACTCTCTGGACCCGGCCTGGACAGGAGTGGGGGCAACGAGGACTCCTCAGCTCCACGCCGCGCCACGCTGCACCACGCGGGCGGGCTTGTTCGCCACCCCTTCGCCAGCCCACCTCCCACTCTCCTCCCCCCCCTCCCAGGTTCGCGTGGAGTACCTGACCAGCACCACGTGCACCTCCACTACTACAGCAGAAGCATCTTTTCGTTTTTCCTCCTGCTCCCCAGCCAGTCCGTTTTTTTGCGATTAGCCGTAGTTCGATAGCTCCTACCAGGCTATCACCCTGCTATCAAACCAGGGGGGGAGGAGGAAGGGTAGTGAGGTCACGGTAGCACGATGCTTGAAATATTTTATCCAGGACATGACATCAAATTAAATGCATTTTTTTTTTCAAAGCGATTTTAAAGTTTGAATAGCGTAACTTCTCACTAACGGCTGGTGTGCATTTTCATTCCGGGTTGCGGGGGATGCTTGTCTTGCTAGCGCCCCTGCCGCGGCCGCTGCCGCACTGGCGAGACGTTGAGACGCCTCACATCGGGAGCCTGCTGCTGCTGCTCCTGCTCCTACCCGGCCCGGCCCAGCTCGGAGGCACGTTCGGCTCGGCAGCCTTGTACCACATCGCAGCCCGGCGCAGGCCGGCGCACCGGCGGCGCAGGCCGGCGCAGAGGCTGGCCACCCATTGTACCCGCACTGCGATCCCTCCTCCCCGTCGGTGGAGCTGCCCGGTGGAGGTGGGGATCCAAGCCTACCCCTTCCTCCGCTGCTCCGCCCGCGCCACCGGGGGCAGCACCGCCGCCTCTTCTGGAAAACTTGTGGAAATGCGAAAGGCGCGGCGTGGCTCGGCGTGGCGTGGCGAGGGGAGGCGCGGCGTGGCGTGTCGCCGGAGGTTTTATAAGCCCCAGGACGCGGCGGGCGCTGCCAGTCCCTCCTGCTCCGGAGCGAGCCGCGCGCCCCCCGCGGGTCATGTGTCAGTGAGTGCAGTGCAGAGTGCAGTGCAGTGTGCAGCTTAGCCTCTCCCGGCGCAGACAAGATGTCCGTCATCTCGGTGGTGCTGGGCGGGTTCGGCGCGTCCGCGACGCGCCCGGAGATGCTCACGTCGGCGCTGCTTGTGGGCGCGCTCGGCGCGGCCGTGCTCTACTACATGCTGTACTCGTGGAAGCGGCGCCGCATGTACTCTCTGGCGGCCAAGATCCCGGGGCCCACCGGGCTGCCCGTCATCGGGAACGTGTTCGACGTCGTCGGCGACACGGAGGAGACGGTCCGCAAGACCATGGCGCAGTTCCAGCAGTTCCGACCCACCTACAAGTACTGGCTGGGGCCGCTGCTGCTCGTGGCGCTCACCGACCCGCGCGACCTCGAGATCGTGCTCAACAACTACAAGTACACCGACAAGTCGCACTTCTACAACGTGTTCCACCCTCTCGGCGGCCAGGGCGTGTTCAACGCCGCGGGTGACCAGTGGCGGCGCAACCGCAAGATCATCTCCCCCGCCTTCAACTTCAACTTCTTGGTGCAGTTCGTGGCCGTCTTCCACGAGATGGCCATGCGGCTTGTGGGCAAGATGAAGGCGCGCGCCGACGGCCAGAGCTTCGACTCGTACAAGCTGGTCGAGCTGTGCACGCTGGACGCTATCGCTGTCACCGCCATGGGTGTGGACGTCAACGCCCAGGACGACGACAACAGCGAGTGGATCCGTGCCATTCGGCGCTGCTTCCAGATCACGCGAGAGCGCCTCGTCAAGCCGTGGCTGCTCCCGGACGCCACCTTCTACCTCACCAAGGATTCCAGGGACCAGCAGGTCTGCTTGGACATTGTTAACAAGTTTGCGCACGAGGTCATCAGTCGCAAAAAGGCCGAGTACCGCAAAGCCAAGGCGGAGCTCGACGCCGACCCTGTCGCTTCCAAGGCCGCCGCCAAGGCTCGCGAGCAGTCCCGCCTTCAGCAGGACGACGACGAGGTCGTCGGAGTGCGCAAGAAGCAGACCTTCCTCGAACTGCTCATAGAGAGGTCCGAGAGCGAGGACGGCTGCGCGCTCACCGACAACGAGCTGCGCGACGAGGTCGTCACCCTGCTCATCGCCGGCCAGGACACGACCGCCACCGACAACTGCTTCAACCTCCTCATGCTCGCCCTGCACCAGGACGTCCAGGAGGCCGTGCACCAAGAGCTGCTCGACATCATGGGCGACGACCCGAGCACCTGCCCGACGTACAACGACCTCAACCAGATGAAGCACCTGGAGCGCGTCATCAAGGAGACGCTGCGCCTGTACCCGTCCGCGCCGTTCATCGGCCGCGACCTGGACCACGAGCTGGACGTGACGGACTACCGCCTGCCCGCCGGCTGCACCGTGCTGCTGGGGCTGTACGGCACGCACCGCCTGCCCGACCACTGGCCGGAGCCCGACAAGTTCGACCCGGACCGCTTCCTCCCCGAGCGGAGCGTGGGCCGCCACCCGTACGCCTTCGTGCCCTTCAGCGGGGGGCCGCGCAACTGCGTGGGCCAGAAGTACGCCATGCTGCAGATGAAGACCATCCTGTCCACGGTGATCCGCCACTTCCAGATCCTCCCCGGCCAGGACTGCGAGAGCATGGAGAAGTTCCGGCTGCAGGTGGACTTTTCCATGACGGTGGCCGGCGGCCACAACATCCGGCTGGTGCCCCGGTACCAGGGCATGCCCGAACGCATGCGTTCGCTCTGATGGCCCGCAGCCCCATCGAGAGCGTGCTGGCGCTGACCAGCACTCTAAAGACTGGAGGCCCACCCCCGCCGGGCCCGAGGCGCCCCACAACCTCGTGATAAGGCACGGACGAACGACTTCCTTGAGCCAATTATTTTTATGTGCTGGTGTTTTCTGTTCGAAGGGTGCGGGACTATCGACCTTGTCCGTAGTCGTATCCCCCCCCCCTTCCCCCTCTGCGCGGATTACTCGACTCTCGCGAACGGGTACTACTAGCTGCGCGCTCGGCTCGCACGTCTGATAGTCAAGAGCAGCTGAGAATTAAGATCCTGGAAAGAAAAAGACAAAATAGCGCCGATAGCCGTTTAGGGAGGGAGGGGCGGGGGGATAACGCAATACAGCTGGCCGTGTGTCAGGCCGACGTGAAGTATACCGCCCCGTCCGCCTCGCGCCGCCGTTGTCGAAGGTGAGCGTGTTAGTCGCTTTCGGAACTCCCTCTCCCCTCTCGCTTCTACCCTCCCGGCCTCTCTCGATGCGGACCCAGTGGGAAGCGTTCTGTGCTGCTCGCGCTGCAGCCGCTGCCGCCGCGCCACATCACTTCGAGTCGGCTCCGAGCCCTGTGATGTAACGTTACGGAGGTGGCGTGGCGTGGCGTGGCGAGGGTGGCGCGGCGCGGCGGCGAGCCTCACTGACCGGGCGGCCACAGGCGCGTCCTTGTGCCCCCAACCTCCGTCTGCCTCTCCTCCTCTCTCTCTCTTTCTCTCCCACCGCCAATTACGTTACAGCGGTCTTCCTTCCTGAACCTGTATCGTCCAGGACGGGCTTGGTCGGGGGCCGTGACCCAGAGCCGGCGGCGAGCCGGCGGCGGCCAGCAGGTTGCAAAGAAATTGCAAACCCTTTTTTATTAAATCAGGAGAAAGAAGTGAATTTTTACTTTAAAAATAACCAGCTTCTTGTTCAAACTTTACAACTAGTTGAGGTACTTTCGCTGCCGCTTTGACGCGCAGAACCTGTCTGGGTCGAAATTTGTTTCTTTTCGTTGACCTACGCCGCGGCCGGCGCCACTAGGGCCAACAGGATTAGCATATGCAAGCGTGCAAGGGTGAGAAAAAAAACGACTGACTGTTGGCCGAGAAAAAAAAAGGTACGGTGCGCGGAGCGTGGCGTTCGGGAAGGGAAAGAGGGGGGAGGGGTTGGAGGGGTTAGCTGCTCCACAGAAGCTCATTTGAGGAGGCGCCTTGCCGCAGAGAAGTAATGGTGATCCGCAGCGTCACTTGCTTCTCCCATCCAACTTAGAGAGAGAGCGAAAGAGAGAGACAGAGCGAGACAGAGAGACAGAGAGAAAGAGAGGCAGAGGGGCGTAGAGAGGGTTGGAGAAAGAGCAAATCGGCGGCGTGCCTGCCACGGCACGTTTTCAGGCTTTGTTTGGCGAAGCTCATCGCAGCAGTCTGAACCAGTCGTCGGCGTGATCCCGCCAAATTATAACCCGCCGTTAAGACAGCCTCGTCCTATTATTTTGCCGTTTGCAGCCAAGGCCAGTGCCAACGGTGCTGCCTCAGCCGCGTCTGCTGCTGCGGCGGCGGCTGCTGTTGCCTTGCGCCGAGTCAAGCATTCCAACCGTCTCGGGGTCGCGCCAGAGGGTACTTTGTTGCTGCTCAGTCCGGACGATCGGTGCTACCAGTTTGTACACGGAAAAAAATATGTAAGTTCGCATAGCTGATATGTTTGCTGATATCGTGACAAGCAACTTTTAAGCTACCGGAGCTAATAATTGACTCCTGTGTGCAAGAATTAGCTAGGGCAGCTGATGCTTATCTGGATT